AAATGGGTTTTTTTACATGTTTTTAAAATCCTACATTCGTTAAAATGAATATGTAAAAATAATTTGTAAAAAACATAAAAATTAAAAATACGTGCATGAAAAACAAAATTGTCAAAGATGCAAAAGATAATTTTGTAAAAATAAATTCATAAGAAACAAAAGTCGTAAAAAAATGTAAATAGAGTACTTTATTGAAAACTAAAATTTAGAAAAATATTTAAAACAAAATTCAAAATAGAATAGGGATACGGGCACGAGTTAGCACGAATCATGGTTTTGTGACTCACATAAAAAACAAAATAATAAAATAAAATAAAAGTGAACCATCTAAGGACCAAATCATTAACGTTTTGTTATTTGAGTTTTTTAATTAAATGAAGCGACTAGAATGAGAGGGGAAGGGATGGAAAAAGCATAAAAATGAAAGAGTAATAAGACAAAATTGCAAAATGAGTCTATGTAGTTGATAAAAATATATGGTTTTTGTTAAAATAAAGTTTGATAGTGTATAAGCGGTTCAGTTTTGGATATATTGTGTGGTTTTGGTCCCTATGGTTGACAATATTTTGTGGTTTTAGTCCATATCCAACCTGAAATGACGAATAAACCCTTAAATTATTCTTTTTGAATTTCTTTTCATTATGTTCTTGTTATTTTATATAAAAAACAAAAAAATCCCACCACCCCGTTCATCTCTCTCTCTCTCTCTCTCTCTCTCCAAGGCTTGTACATGCCGCCAAGTTTTACCAAAACGTCGCCTTAACTCATATATGTGTATAAAAATGAATAATAATTGAAAATACATATAAAAACATTAATTATATACAAAATTGCCGCCTTACGTCACGCCTTACAAACGACGTGGCTCGTCAAGGCTTAGAAAAGCTTGAGACTTGACATTGCCGCCAAATCACGCTTTACGTTATTTAGAACCTTGATTAAAATAGATAATAAAGAATGAAAAAACAAATTATAAGAGCATAATAGTATTTTTCAAGTTGATAGGGACTAAAATCACTAAAAGGATACAAAAATGGACCACTGATACACCACTAAACGTTTTTGGACAAAAACTACATATTTTTTACATCCATATGAAACATTTTTTTTCCAATTTTTCTATAAATAATCAGGTATATTTTTGAGGTGGTGGGAAATGAAATGGAATAGAGGAATTTGATAAGGTAGCTTAGCTTTCAAGTATTTTTAAGTTGTCATGTTTGACAAACCAAAAAGTCGTTTATAAACTAGTTTTCTAAAAAACTCAGTTTTCAATGTTTTTTTAATTTCCCATATATACCCTTAATTAATTATGAAAAAAACATATTTTTCTAAATGTCTTTTTATGTCATTTTATATCTTCCGGCTAGTCGGTCAATTAGTTTTTATCAAATGTCATTTTTATTAGCCAACTTATAAGTTATCAACTAGTTTTTCAGCTAACAACTATTTTTTCAACTAGTATACCAAATCATATAATCCGACTTATTTACATCTTAATGGTGTAGGTATCCAACTATTAAACATCTTAATGGCGTAGGTATCCAAAAGAACCCCACCAAATCATATAATCCGACTTATTTACACTAAAACTTGTATTTACACTAAAACTTGTAATATAATAAAGTGAATGTAATGCTTTTTAATTCACATATATTGTTTATGTCACACTCGAACTTTCAACAACAAATACAAATATCTCAAAATACAAAAGATACATCAATAAACAAATCATCACCATCAACTTAACAAATAATGATACAACGGGAACTTAAAAATACTTCAAAGTTACAATTTATTTTTTCTAATAGTTATAACTGGTATGACGTAACTATGTACTTACATTATTTTCAAACTTGCATATATGAACAACACAATTTTACAATCTCTCCTAAAATACTATAACAACTATCAATACTTTGTAAAAAAAACCCACAATCTCGTTAACCTTTGTATATGTTTTTTAAGTTCTTATTTCCACAATCATCTAAACTCATTTTCAATCTTCATCATATATTTTACAACAACATTTATCCATCAATTTCCCCATGTTAAGTGTGGGTGAGTTAGTACAATGACATTACTCGATTTATTAGGCATGTTCTGTGTTCAACTATAATATTCCCCCTTTTTTGATACCCAAACTACACATTTTACTTTTTATGACTCTCCACACTCATTTGAGTCAAATTTTTTGTTCCATTCATGTCTATGACATCATTACCACATTAGATTGTAATGTCGAGTTGATGTCCATCATTGACAAACACTGGACAGTTCTGAAGGTATACTAACCTAACACTTAAAGTCGACATGTATAGGGGTGGACTAGGACAAGGTCATGACTCATACTCGTTTTCAAGAGGTAGATGTAATTCAACGGGAGGGTTCTCTCAACGATTGTAGTGTTTAATGGTTGTATGTTTACAATCCATTTAAGTTGAAATGAGGTATCGAGGTGTCAACAACCAACTAGGGATAACTAGGGATTCCCTGAATGGGTAATGTAGGCATATGCCAAAGATGATACACATATCTCATATTATATAAATATAAAAAACCATGGTCCTTATGAACAATAGATTTTTTTTGCATTTCAGAATTTTACCACAAACATTTTGCAACGTTTGCCAATTTTGGTCACTGGTGGTGGGATGACAAGTCCACCAAGCAAATTACACCATTTGTTTGCAAATAAAACGTAATATAATGGTAAAAAGGGGTATCGATCCTCGGGGAAATGGTTGTATTCAATCACCAATGCAATCTAAAAGAACCAGTGTAAATAAACTAATTAACTACAATTAAACTAAAAGGGGGGGGGTGTTATGATTGCTTGAAAACTAAAAGACTTGAATAACTAAAAAGCTTGCAATTAAGCAAGATGGTGAGATGCTCAAATGTTGGGAACAATTGGTTAACCAAGGCAATTCAACACAATGAACATTTGTGTGTTTATCATTAGGATTCAACATGAAGCTTATCATTCGTCCCAAATTGGTTATAGCAATCATGAAGCATGATATGCCAAGATTCCTCTTAGGTAGTATGGAGGTTGGGAAAGCCCACGACACACCTTCTTAATCAAGATCAAGGGTTTAATTGAAGCAATTGAACCCAAGAAGTTAATTAGCCTTAAGAAAGAAGGGATCCCCAATTCCTAGAGGATGTCAATGCTTACACATCCATAAATGAGCTATGATTCATAAACTAGAGATGATTTTTACCATCATAAAGCCCTTGTTCTAAGTTAATTCAATGATTCAATGCAAAACCAAAGAAATAAACTAACAATAGTTCATTCAAGTGTCAAGCTCATGATCAAAGCATTAAACAAGCATAAAAAATGTGATCTAGAACCATAAACATAAGATAATTGATAATCTAGCATAAATCCTTCAAAAACCCACAAACATTCAAAGGTTTTAACCAAAGTTAACCAATATAGAGAGTTTAGCCACTCATGACACTAGAATAACAATCACAAAAGTCTAATTGCATAAAGAAACTACAAATAACTTGGAAAAATGAAAAGAAATGAGTCTTGATCTTCAAAATCGCCTTCTTCAGCTCTCCAATTGTGTAAAATCGAGGTTATGGCTGCTAGATCTGATCCCCCAAGGTAATGGCAAGCCAAATGACCAAAATGCCCAAAACTGGGCAGTTGCGCGGGTACCCGCGCAACGAAAATTCTACCCGCGCAAGTGCTGCTGGAATGCTATTGGTCCTTCATTCCTCCACTCCACCCTTCCACTACCAAAGATTCCTTTGGTCCCCTCCATATCCATGTGATTTAAACCAACCAATCATCATTTAGCTACAAAAATGGATGCTCCAAGCCCAAAAATAGAAGTTTATGACCCATCTTCACAAGCCCAAAATATCCAAGTTTTCAACTCTTTAAGGCCCAAGTCTTCTTTTATGGATCCGCCAAACCCAATAGTGCATCGAGAGCCCACAAGTCCGTCTTCACTCTAATCCACAATCGCGATAAGCTCCAAAACCCTGCAAAATTCCTCATGCAAAATAAAAAGTCCCCGATACGATCCATGATGAAGAAAATATAGAATATACAATGCAATACTAATAAAAAAAGCTAAAAATCTAAAACAAACTAATAATAAATAAGGAAATAAAATAAGCTATCAACTGACTTGCTCTCATCAACTACCGCTTCCAATAAGATGGTTAAAGATAAATTCTCCATCGACTTCTTCATTATCACTTCTAAAGAGATGGTTACAATTATTTGTAGAGCATTCATCTATATCTACATTGTTGTAGTAGAATACCGTAACTCAAACCATTTATATATATATATATATATATAATATTATATATATTATATATATATATATATATATATATATATTTGATATTCTAACAATTTGCAAAATTTTATTTTTAGAAAGTTATAGCTATTATGAAATCTCATAAAATGGTTGATTAATTCTCCTCAAATGATCGTAATATAAAACAAAATTCTTTTGCAAAGCATGATCACTTTACAAACTTTATACATGTTTTTTTTTTTTTTTTTTGAGATTTATTACATGCACCTTCCTGGAAACAACTACATTGCACTAAGTTAGTGATCATCAAATACCAATAATTTCAGTTAACTTCATCCAAAAATCCTAATTTACCAAAATCTAAAGTAGTTTGCAAACCATTTTACAAAACCTAAATTTTACGTAGGTTAAAAATAGTCATCATTGGATTTCACAAACCGAACCAATCTAAAAAAAAATACATTACAAAAAATAAATGATTACTCGGTGATATTCTTTTTAAAATTAATTACTTTGTGACATGATATTTTTCATTTTAATATTTTTGGTGCATAGCCTAACCATAGCCCTAAGATCACAAAACCAAACGGGCTAGTTCTTGCATCTCTTTTTAGACTTGTGGGCCTAAATCTTCACAATTTCAAATTCAAAGAGCCCAAATTCTAAAATACAAGGGTTTATCTTGAATCGCCAAGTGGCTTGTTACATCATTCTTCTCTAGTCTCTTCTAGGGTTTAAGGCAAGACGTGCGATTCTTCAATCTCGTTTTCGCCACCTGAATAATGGCGTTTTGGGGTTAGTTTCAATAATTTTGTTCTTACATCTCTCATTCTCATTCATATCTTCGTAGATTGTTTTCTTAATGTTGTTCATTTGGTGTTTGATGTTCAGGAATTGAAATAAAGCCCGGCAAACCTCACCTTCATCAGTACGATGATGAAAGAGGAAGGCTTCATCTATCACAGGTTTGTTTATGCCGCTCAAATAATTTCAATCTCTTTTGTACGCCCGATTTTTGTACTTGACATGGCTTTACTTTTGCTAAGTTAGCAAGTTTGAGAAACGATTATTTTATCTCATGAATCAAGTCCGATTTTCGAAGTTGAAATTAAGATTGAAATCTTATGTTGTTATAGGCAACACTTGGTAGTGGTTCATCAAAAGAGAAGGCTGTTGTTGTGTGTAATGTTGGTGATAAGAAACCGATTTACTTATGCTCGTTACTACCAAAAAAAATGGAGACATGCTCACTAAACATAGAGTTTGAGGAATATGATGAAGTTACATTCTCAGTGGAGGGACCTCACAGCATTCATCTATCTGGATTCTTCTATGGAGAAAAGCCAGATTCTGATGAAGATGACTATGAATCGTATCCTTTTCTAAATCTTAACCCATTTGCTCTATGATATTGCCATGTAGTCATGTAGGCATGAACTTGAACTTGTTACTGTTAGTTGTTTCTTTTCCCTAACAAGATTTCGAAGTGATTCTGATGAAGAAGGTATCATAGCACCAGAGATGGACTCTGAAGATGATAGCGACTTTGATTTTGATGAAGCAGATGACCTCACTGATAATGAGATGTATATGATGCCTAACAGTGGAGGTATATAACTATAATACATCTCTTTTGTTGCACTATATTGTTACACAGTAGTTTTTGCATTTTTTAAATCACATTTGTTTTTCATATTAGTGAGAATTGAGGAGATTGTTGATGAAGAAAATCCTGCAACTGAAAAAGCCACTCCTGCACAATCAAAGAAGAATAAACAGGGGCAAATTGTTGTAAAAGAATCAAACAATGTTCCAGAATTGGAGAGTGAAGATGAAGATGGGTTTCTGATATTGCCCTCTGATAAGGACAAAGCTAGTGTACCAGTTCCAGAGAGCAAACAAGATTCAGAAGTGTCAATTGGAAAAGGGCAAAATGGTCAAGTCAAGAGGAAAAAAGAGAAAGATGATTCTGAACATACAGCAAAACGAAAGAAAGATGATTCTGTTACAGGAGGTGATCCTATCAGGTATCATTTTCAATCTTGTTTTAAGGTATTTTTGAATTATGCAGGGTCATAAAATAACATTTTTTCTATATCCATCAGTTCAATTCTATTTAGTTCTCTAATTACATATAACAATAGTTGTTTTTTTTTGGTGTTTTCAATTTCTAATTCCATTATTTTGCTCTTTGATTATCATTTATCAGCCAACCAGAAAATGTAGCAGCAGCTTCTACACCAGAAACAGATGCCAAAAAATCAAAAAAGAAGAAGAAGAATAAGAAAGTAAAAGAGACACAAGAAAGTGGTGACAATAACAAAAATGGAGCTCAAAAAGAGGAAACCAATCAAGAGAAGACACCTGTAAAGTAAGTATCTTCTTAGCTTTACATCTTTTCCTCACTTAAAGAAATAAAAACGAAGAGTAAGTTGCAGTTTTGGTCTTTATATTGATGTCATATAACGATTTTAGTCCTTGATTCGATAATTCAAACTACCAAGATTTTTTTTTTGTAAAATTACCGTTTTGCCCTTCGGTCAAAACTGAAAAGGAAAACAATATACTACATGGACCAAATTTATAATTCTCTTAATTTCATTGGTAACATATTATTTTTTTTAAGTATATTAGGAAACATTTAAGTTTTGAAATTACTTTACATTTAAAAATGACCATTTTGCCCTTGGCTCAGCAACCCTATATTTGAATTTTGTAAATGTTAATTTCTTGATTATATTTCGAATTTCAAAAATATATTGATTTATGAGGTAATTTACATTAAAACAAATATATGAGTTTAACACATGATATCTGTAACTGTAAGGACCAAAACTGAAAAAGCTATAAACTAAGGGACTAACTTTGTAATTTACAATAGAAACAAATATATAGGAGTTAAACACTAATTGTTTGTTTTATATTACTCAAAAGGGAGACAAAATCGGAATCCAAAGAGAAGAGTACAAGTACAACAAAGAAGGATTCAAAAGTAAAAACTGAAACAAAAGCATCTCAAGTTAGAACTTTTCCAAATGGATTAGTAATTGAGGAGATTCAAATGGGTAAACCAAATGGAAAACGGGCCGACCCGGGAAAGAAAGTGAGTCAATTTATATAAATATATATTTTTTGTTTTATAAGTTGTTTCAAAGTAATCAAAGTTGTCTAACTTTTTGTTTTTTATTTTTATTTTATTAGATCAGCATGTGTTACGTTGGGAAGTTGCAAAAGAATGGAAAAATATTCGACTCTAACATTGGAAAAGCGCCATTTAAATTTCGCCTAGGTAACATAATTTTTATATATATTTAAATTTGACATTTTTAGTGTAAGATAATTCTATATAATAATAATAATGTTTTATTTATTTATTTGAAACTTTTGTAGGTGTTGGGGAAGTGATAGCGGGATGGGATGTTGGTGTTAAAGGAATGCGTGTTGGGGACAAAAGAAGACTAACCATTCCTCCAGCTATGGGGTAATTTTTTAATTTTCTAAATATTTTAATATATGTTTAGTGTTGTTATTTGTTTATATAAAAAAATTAAATTTTGAAAAATTGTGGTTTTTGTGTTGTTGATTTTTAGGTATGGTAGTAAAGGTGCTGGATCAGCTATACCACCAAATGCATGGTTGGTTTTTGATGTTGAATTGATAGATGTGAATTAAGTAGCTACTACTACTACAACTACTAGATCTTGCAATATTTGTTTGATACACTAAATGATGAGAAGAATTTGTATTTTGGGTTTTTGGTGTTATGTATTTTTTTTTTTTTTTTTTTTTTTTTTTTTTTTTTTTTTTTTGAGAATTAAAGTGATCAATGGGAAAATCTTTTGGTTGTAAGTTGAGGAATATTATGCGCTATACATTTAGAGGAAATGCAATTTTGTCTTGGAAGAAATGAAAATTAGTTCTTGATCAACATCATGGTTTAATACTCTTTGTGTGATTGTGTTTTTAGATATTTTGTTTGATACAGCTATTTTGCTTTACTGCTTTCAGTTATTTACTATATGTTTCTCTAAGATGTAGCTAGGTATGTGTTACTCTTTATATCAACTTACTTTTCCTTTGTTTGCTTTGATTACATGATATCGTATATGTGATGTTGTCCAACAAGATATAAATATAAACGGAATACATGAAGCTATGTCAATCTCAGACGTTCAAAATTATGTTTCTTGGTAGAGATTTGTGTCGACCACACCATATTGTATTATTGATTCATTATCAATTTAGTTTGAGCACGACCATGTGTTTGATGTCAACACCAAATCATCATGTGGCCTAGGGACATCACTTCTCTCGTTATGGCAAAAGAAACAAATCAACTTTGACTACACTAAATCATCGACCGCTATGACAGAAGGAACAATCAAACTTAGACTACATAGACTTTATCATGTCATACCTGAACATTCCATGTATGGTTACCAGTACAAACAACATTGGAAAACACCAAAACATAACATACTGCATAACAAAAAATCTCATGCATTTATATTTGAAGAATATAATATATTATCATCATAGAATTATTCATGACAGTTTTCATGAATTAATCTATAAGTACAGGTGAATCCAAACTTAATCTCTATTAAGTAAACATTAGTATTAGTCACATCTCTATGATATGTTCATCTCCATGGACAGTCTACTAATACTTCATAACAACCTTAAATCACTACGTACTTCTAGAAGTATGACCGACTGTGGAGACATTGAATATATTAATATTCACGAAGTTAAGTAAACATGCAAATGGAACATAATAATAAAATAATAAAAATAACTTCTCTCTAACATATATTAAGATCTCCACACAGTGATTGTCAAATCGGATAAATATTTACACTGTATAAGTTACCAAAACAAATCAAACTAAACTAAATACACCCAAACCAATTCACGTGCAAATCTAATGCATGTCAACCTAGTATGATTATCATGATTGGTCTGCAACAATGTTTAGTGAACTGATCGACATTGTTCTCTTTCGATGTGCCTCCGCTAACTACGATGTCTCTTTGTTTGACCAACTATTGGATGTAATGGTACTTCCTGAGTATATTCCTTGTGCACCTGTGAGCTCTGGGTTATTTAGCAAAGGCGACCGATCATCAATGCTAGTAATAACATAGACATCATTGATCAACTTCTTCATATACATTGCCTCTTTTGTAGCTTCATTAATTACAATATAATTAGCCTATTTCATCGAATCTGCTATTGTATATTGCTTGAAACTCCTCCAAGTCACTGCTCCACCATTCAGTAAGAACACGAATCTTGACTGCGAACAAGAATCATCTCTATCAATTTGGAAGCTAGCATCAGTGTAGCCCTTTACACCTAGATCTTCCATACCTACATAAACCAAGAACATATTCTTTGTCCTCCTTAGATACTTCAGAATGTTCTTGAATGCAATCCAATAATTTTCAATAGGGTTAGCCTGATAATTACTTGTCATGGTTAAAGCACACACGACATCAGACCTTATACATATCATGGCATACATGATCGATCCCATAACCGACACATATTGAACTCAACTCATTCTATCCAACTCATCACTAGTACTTGGACATTGAGCTCTGCTTAATGTTACATCATGTTGCATAAGGACAAACCCTTTCTTAGAGTTATGCATTAATCTATCTCTATAGATCTTTATGCCTAGTATAAATGCTACTTTTTCATAATTAATTCATTGAGTTTGAGTATAACCCTTTGCAACTAGTCGAGCTTTGTATGTGTGTATATTACCATCCATGTCCGTCTTCTTATAGAAGACCCATTTACACCCGAGTGTTTGAAGGCCAGGTGTTTTATCAACCAAGTTCCAAACTTGGCTATCATATATGGATTTCATCTCGCTCTCCATAGACTCCTTCCATTTGGCAGCCTCAGGGCCTGCCATGGCTTCCTGCTAGCGGGTAGAATTTTCATGATCTATCAATGACTCATCGCCCTTGTGGAAGACTTCCCTTCAAGAGACAAACAATTTGTTCCCCGAAGATTTGTAAAAAAAAATGGACAAAATATCTAGCAGATATCCAACAAAGTAACATCTATCTGATATGGGTTCTAACTTTTCGAGGAGTTCATGATAAATGTAAGCCTTAGAACCCCAAAACTTTCAAATTTACTAATGAGGGAGCAACCTCATTCTGCATTTTAGAAATGCATACAATATACCACTTAAGTCTTCAATGGATATAGATCGTTAACAAACAAACACTATTCACTATACATAAGTAATGGTTTAATACATTAAAACAAGATTTATGTATTAAGTAGTTTTATGTACAAGTAATACAATAAACATATAGAGAATGAGAACACGATTCCATGGATGAAAAGAACATCGAAAACGAAGATCGTGCGCAAGAGTTACGAACATTTTAAGAAAACAAACAAGTATTATAAATGATTTGTCTGTAAATGAACTTTAAATCGATTCGTAAGGATAGCTACGCATTTCATTAAGTGTTTTTGAGCACATTTTTGGAATCAGACCATAACCTAATATTTGAGTCCATTCTCGAAATATCGTTAACACGAAGTCTTAATAGGTTTATGTTGACGTATCTTCAAAATGCATGTATTCTCAGGAACATAAGAAGTCGGAGTGTCACCCTCAAGAATACTCATAGAACTATTTAGCAATCACAGTTATGTACTTCGCTATGTTGACTGTTAGGGCATGTATCGTATTTTGGATTATCATGTACTACATCAGACAATGTTAACTTCTAGTTCCATATTAATAGAAGCTAGTATTTTATGACGTTATATTTGTACTATTCAATGTATGTTTAACAAATATGATCAATGAATAAGTTGCACAGCCCGACGTTTTCGTCGCTGGCCAGGGATATGACACATTACCTAAGTATCAGTCACTTATAACAAAATGTTACAAAATGATTTGTTATTTCTAACCTTTTGTGCAGCTACATCTCCATTAATGTAACGTATGCTCACTGCTTTTTTTTGGGGGTGGGGGGGGGGGTGGATTTTTCGGAAGTTCACGCTCACTATATACGATAGTTACCGGTCGAGCAACTACTTTTTTTAGAATCTACATCTTGGTTTAAAGCAATGTGACCCATATCCACGAAATGCTAATGGCCATCAACTACTGGGATACCAAACCCGTCGATGTAATCTCCATGGATAGTTTCACACTCACTCTTGTGAAGTCACAACGCACTACAACAGTCTCACGATAAAGGGGATTGTAGAGGTTTTTTATGTTGGTTACTAAAGAGGTTGATTATTGATCAATCAGTGAGCATTGAGGGAAACATCAAGAGAGGCGATTTACATGAATAACATGGGATACACGTCACAACTAAGGGTCCATCTGCATGTTTTAATCATTATATGAACATATGTAAATGTTTGTAAATATTTATTTTTCTAGTAGTTTTTTTGTTTCATGTGGAAAGCATTAGTTGGTTATTTTCTTCAAATTGCCATAAATATTTGGTTATTTACTCAATTTCCCAACTTATAATCATAAAGTTACAAATGACCATCATACCATAAACACATAAATTTTTTTTACATAAATGATCATTGAATTGACACTCTGAAATGCCATTTCGAAATGGCTACTCTAAATTCCAGACTCTCTTCCTAAGTGTCATGTTCCAGAGAAGTTGGTTATTTGCCGAAAATAAAAAAAATGGTTATTTTTTTAATATAGACATTTATATTGGTTAGTTTATTCAATTTCCCTAATAAATATCATGATTTAAAGATAAGTGGCATACAAATGGTCTTCAATGGTTGTTGAAATAGATATCCGAAGCTGTCATCATCGGACAAGATCTCTACCGTATAAATTCTATTTGTAATTATGAGATGACTGTTTAACCCTTCGCTAATAATCCTACTAAGGCTAAACGAAGTGGATGTCATTGACACCACTCCACCTAGGCTCCACCTGGATAAACTCGAGCAATGACATTTTAATACCTCCATGATGTAGTGATGTTGATGGTATGGAGAGAGAGAGAGAGAGAGAGAGAGAGAGAGAGAGAGAGAGAGAGAGTTGCATAAACATGTTAATGACCAATGTTTGCTAAAAACGTTTGTGTATTGGGGTGGTGTTTACCGTCCCTTTATGCTATCTTATATATTAGCTTCAAATAATGTTGATTCATTTTCTCTAATTTGAACAAATCTGAAAATTGTTGTAAATGCTTTAGCTGATGCGATTCAAGCCTCAAACTCGATCCCCTAATGAGGTGTTGCAATTGATTTTGGCAACTCTTTGAAGTATAAAAACCATGAAAGAAGGACGATTAAGGTATGTTGTTCGTAGTGATTACAATTGTTGATAACATTGGGTGGACATAAGTTTATAATTCAAGATATTGGATACATCTTTCGTTTCAAAATTTATAAGTTTCGGTAATTTTGTGTCTCATGGTGGAGGTCACTGCACTCGTCACGTCACACCAGGTGGTGTGATGTTCCCCCACCTTCCTGCATGGTGCAGTTAGGGGTGAGCGCGGTGCGGTTCGGTGCGGTTATTAGCCAAAACCTCACCACTAACCGCAAATGCGGTTAATCCATTTTCAAAACCGCTTGGTGCGGTTATTTTTACGGTGCGGTTAGGCGGTTATTTTTGCGGTGCGGTTTGTTTTTTCTGTTTTGCGGTTATTAACCACATGGATTTGGTGTGGTTTTTAACCACAGTTTGGAGCTCAAACGACTTTAAGAGTTCAAACATATTACTTGTAA